TCAGAACTCCTCAAAATCTTGGACTAATGGGGCAATGATAAAATTAAAGCATTTCTAAAAAGACTGTAGATCCCAGAAAAGAGCTAAAAAACAAACCAGGTCCGTTTGGGTTAGAATGAGCAAAAACACATAGTAAAAACATTACGAATGCAAGAAAAACATAGCGTCACATATGGGACGCGCACCTCCTAGTAGTAGTAGTAGTAGTAGTAGTAGTCATTAGTAGTAGTGGTAGTAATAGTTCTTGGTTTACCTCCTGCACTTCGGCTTTGAGAATCTCAAACTGCAGATTTCCAGACGCTGGCGATAAGAAGTACGCAGGAAAGCATAAGACTCACAAGACTGCTCTGCCTTTCCCATCAGGTTTCCCCGCAGAGTTCCCCAGTCCTGCTCCCAAGAAGGACGCAGGTGCCCGGCCGTGTTCACAGCACGAGCAAACGAGGCACTTCTTTTCCACAGCTGGCCGCTTGTCTACAGAGTCTTAAAGCAGGCTCATCAAAGTGTCCCAGACATTTTTCACATTGGGTAATTATGAGATATGATTTGTCACGCGGGTAGCAACTAGGTGTTCTTGCCTTTTCTGGGCATATGCGTTGAAGGGACCACTGGAATTGGCGACGCATCACAGCGAAAATTCAGTGGCCTTTTCAACAGCTTCTTTCCGCAGGCTTGGGACGAAACATTGAGGCACTCGGAAACCCTGCTTCGTAGCCTGCTGTTTCAAAACTACCCGCAGCCCCAAGTCATCTGTCCACTCTTGTTTCTGTTGAAGACATCATTATAGCCTTGTTCCGGTTCGCTTGAGCAAGTCAGTGTTTCTCTTTGCAACTGCCGTAGGACCTGGTCAGGCTCTTTTCTTCTTTCGTTGTTGTGTCTATGTTAGCAGGGATTACGGGCGCAAGCGTAGTAGACGAATCATTGAGAAGGTTCTCTTATTGTGCTTGGACCGGAGATGACTCATTTCCTCAATAGCGAGCCATTAGATTGTGCAGTTTAGGAGAGTCTTCCCTGCCATCCTCTGCACAGCAGAGGAGGGCAGCAAACAGGGTAGACACCACATAAAGAATCAACTCACCTCATTCGCCAATCCCACCCTCCAATGACTATGGCCTCTGCCTATTGAGACACATTCGCCTGTTGTTCAGTGAGGGTGTCAGGGGGCCGAATCTTAAGGAACATGAGCAAACAGGATTGCTTCTACAGTTTGGGAACAGAAGACTCAACCCTGTACAGCTGTAGATATTTTTGGAGGCATATCTGAGATCGGCCCCAAGGAATTTTCTAAAAAACATCTCTGGAGCAGAGATCCTTTCCGAGGCGCCTTTGCGCTCGGTGGGCTGCCTGGTTTGATCGGGCGTGGAAGCGCAGTGCAGAGGCCAGAAGCCTGGTCCATGCTTCTGAGGAATGATTTCATACTGCATTTGGATAATGGAAAAGAAAATGCAAACTACTGTTATAGCATGTTGGGGTTATATAGGGGCACAGATAATAACAAGTAAAATGGAAACTACAATGCATCTTACCAGGCTGATACTCGCAAAAATTGCGTCTGAGGGTGGTAGTAGTAGCAGAAGCTGTTGTCAAAGTCGCTTTGGTCATGCTCTTGATACCAAAAGTCCTTAATCCTTCATGACCCTGAGTACCCTCAACCTTCGGACGTATGCAAGTTCAGTATGACAAGATCATGCGGGCTTAGGGTTTTAGTGTCAACAGTAGCACAGGCGGCGATCGCTTGGGGCCAGAAGTTCCAAACGCGGCTACGCTACCGTTCAAGAGTCCAAGACGAGACCGCACATGAAGGGCTATGTGTATCTGACCGGGCCCCTGCATCCTTTGGAACCATGACTCCCTATATGAGCGACAGTCAAAATTTCCAGCCATTAGATCATGTCTCGGGTGGACGTGACTTTAGTGGCTGACGCTGCAGACCCTGTAAAACGATAGGGGAGACAAAACAAAACGATAACCATGACGCAGCGAGCTGTGCTGCTTAAGACATGTTAAGTAGTCAGTCTTGTGAAAAGGCGAAAATGCTGAAAAAAGGATGGGGGAGACGGTTAAAAGCGTTAACCCCAAGCCCATGTCCATTAGCCAGGTATGGAATTTGGACAGTAGCTCATCTATACCCTATATCAAAAGGGGTTATAATGGAAAAGAAAATGGAAACTACTATATTATGCTAGTCCCTTTTAATAGCTGCCTTGTTAATATGCACTAATGTAAACTTGCCAGGTAAGGACGGATCTCCTACTGGAGTCGAGACAGCTTCAAGACGAGTTGAGGCAGGGATCCTGTGGATAATAAGATCCTGCATGACGTTGGTATACTATCATACCATCATTCCCAAGGTATATACTAGGATACCATAATTCCCAAGGTACGGGGTACTTAGCGTCATGCAGGATTTTTAGGTTCCACCGTCGGCTTGGATTCTGGTGTTTTAGGCGTCCTTCAAAGGGTGTCAGCATGCAGGAATGAAAAAAGCTGGTGCTTCTTTTGAAAAACTTCATGCGGCAAATGATTGGCAACTGGTGGACCCCGAACATCACAATGCTGGAGGGGCGGCAGTGGGTCTAAGGCTAAGGTCTAAGGGGTAAGCCGCCAGCAAACCTCAGGGAACAGCAACAAGCTTTTGATTGCTGTATACTACCAACCCCAATGTATCATAGCTAAAGTACGGGTGTCCTTGCAAGTGTGAGCCGTGCCTGTTACACCCTCCCTTTCTAAGCGGGGAGTTTCAAAACTAGAGCTCTAGAACCTGTGACGAAGCAAGCTTACAGCGATCTATCATGTGATGGCAAAGAAAATGGAAACTACTATACTATAATATAGTATTATAATATAGTATTAGAATATTGTCGTTTCCATTTTCTTTTCCAATTAATCCCCTAAAAGTCCGTGATCGACTCCAGGAGGCAGCGTGGCCGAGCGGAGCGGACCGCGGAGGACCCGGGCAGCCAAGAGTGTCCTCACC